TTTACATTTCATTAAAATAAAACATGCGTCCTTTTGTAGTGATCATGCTTCCCGGCAAAAGGGCGTAAGGGCTTACATCCTTCCAGGCACACGACGTACTTCTCTGGGCTCATGCAAAGTACAATTCTAATGTTGTACAGTAATGTTGAATCCTTGTCCTTCGTCTGTTGCGTGGTGAATACAGGGATAATCTGCTCAAAATGCTAAGGAATGATATATGGACATGGACAGTCGATCACACACATCGCCTGTCAGCTGTGGGCCTATAATCTAGAAAGAACACACTGTTCCACGAAAGGAAAAAAATAGACTGTTCTTCACTCACAACAGTAGACTTTCAAATCGAACGGCTACATTGCCTGTGGACAGACAGGTACCCAGGTGGCGAGTACAATCAAAACGATGATCACTGACAGTGTGGGTGGATTTTTCCCGCCCACGCACGGTTGACTTTCTACACAGGTAACCAACATTGAACTGTACCGAGTATCGAAGAATATTTCACCAACCGTAATGCGGAGCAGGCCTGAATGGGTCGGGCGTTATAATACATATACCGTGCGTCCCCTGCTGTAGTAATGTGACAGTGTACTGAAAGTTCAGTCAACACGATGAATCAACGTTTTGTCACGAACCTCAAAGGCCGCGTAATAACCATGCTGCAGTCAGACGGTAATTTTGATTGATGGTTCAGCTCCAACTTCTATTCGGTTTGATTCAGGTGTTTTTTAATCTGAATCTGTCTCTCAATAAAGCTAGCGTAATACATGTATGTCCTTTTCAAGTTAAACAGTTTCCGACGAGGTGATTTGGCGGCTTCTTGATCAGAGGAATCTGTAGACACTTGATGCAAACGAAGTCACAAGCTTCGTGTCTGATTATAAAGGTAATCGAATCTTTCTTCACAAGAAAGCTGTGTGACTCTAATCTCCCATCAGTTGCCTGAACTATTTCTCTGGCAAACACAATCGATAGTTGCAAATTCACGGTAACTCTTCTCAGATATTACAAACAACGAAAAATTTCATTTGACTTGACCATAGCAAATATTTCATGTACCCAGTTTTGTTTCCTTGACTTTAAAAACATCGTTAATGAAAACATGCCCCCATCATAGATGTTCTTATCGAAAACAAATATGTGTTGTTTTTGCAACCTTGTCTGCGCCCATATTATCCGAGGGGCTTATTTCGTTGAGGTGCCGATGGTAATTTACGTGGTAAAAACTGCTTAACGAAAATGGACTAACGGCCAAAATGTCACACAATCTGTACCTCTTGGGATTTTTCTGCTGAGCCAGTCTATGAAATCAGGCCCAGCTGAATGTGCAATTTAAACGTGTGCTCGTTTAAGACCCGCATAATGCCTCGATAATTCGCAATGTCGTGTTTTGCATAAAAAAATGCTCAAACTCAAAGATTAGATTTGTGTATAGATATCAGACGACCACAAAAATTGTTGCAAACTGCTTGTTTTCACGCTGCCAGCATCTATCAAAATACTACAAAAAGTCTCTGGCAAGCCTTTCAGAGACTTTTTGACGCATCATCAAAATGAAGACTCGTGTTCATCAACGCGTCATTATGCACCAGACACCTATATCTCGTCGCGTTGAATTTAATGGTATATAATTTGGGGCATGTTATCGTAAATCAACATACTTCGTGTGACACCTAACGGCGTATTTCTCCGTTGCACTTTAGTCGCAGACAGGGCCCTGCCAACTTCTCCCGCCAATTAATGCAAATGGGTGACACCCGGCGCGCGTGATCCTATCCGGCGATTTGAAACTCCCCTGGCGGCGGCTCCTTTAACTCGCAGACTGACGCTGCCCATCGTGCCTTTATGTGGGCAAATTAATAGTGATTAATTAAGACGCGTTAAGTGGCTGGGCTGACTAAACTTGGGGACTTTGGTGGCACGTTCCTCCTTGTCAAAACAGAATCACATTTTGGGAACAAGGTCATTTATTGTAATGTAGGCCTACGAACTGGTTTTCCCGAGGGAACCAGATTATTTGCGCGCCAATAAATCCCGTGATAGTGTAAAACAATTGGCGCAGTCGTGAGAAGGCTATTTTGACAAACCTTTTGACCTTCTCCATCCAGATGTTTTGACGTTGTTACTTTCGGCACTTTGGAATCACTCCGGTTCTGCTTGAAAAAAGCCTAACATTCAAAAAAGTGGCTTGGCAAGTTGGTATTGTAGCCCAGTATTGGTAAAAAAAAGATTGGCTTCAGCCAAAATCACTGACAAAATAGCGTGTTGTACAACAGATTTTAAATGTGACTTTATTTCGGTTTCTTTGGTTGTCTCTTTTCGTTTTTGCTTTTATTTATTTTTTGGGGAGGGATTTTTTCACAAATGCTGCTATTTTTTTCACCAAATACTGTGGATCCAACTCCAGGGCCCACATTCTTCCCTGGAATTCAGTTTGAGACCACTGATATTTGGAATCCCCCTTTCCCTGGCCATAGATACGTTCATGAGCTTGAAGCACAATGAATGTACAAAGTAGACTGCTTGCGACACCTGTTCAGGACAAAAAGAGTGATGAACCTTCGATAACAACTTGGCACCGGGTTGGTGTTTTTCTGAAACTGTTTTAAATACCACGCGTGTTTCCCAGGCATTGATAACCATTTTCGATATAGCACTCCAGAAGAGTGATATGTGTGTGTCATAGGTTATCGTTTCTTTTTTCCGATATTTTTGTTCTCTTGACAAATCGTACACAGTTCAGTCCACCCAGGCAGTGTTTGGATCTTTGTTACCAAGAATTCAGACAGCCGGTGACAAAATAAAAACAGACGGCCGAGGAAGTAACACGTAAACATAATGTTAAAAAAATAGATTTAGTTCCTATTTTAATACACCCACAGCTTGTGGTAAATTGTGTGCTAACGTTACTCACTGCAGTTAACTTCTTGTAACTGGTCTGAACTTTGAGTTTCGTGGCTTTAGAGTTTCGTTGTATCCATCATTTGATTTTTTGGTAAGATATGAGACTAAATTAATCTTAAACACCACACGATTCCTAATTTTTATGTATATGAACATGTGTTAAAAGTATTGGTAAGAAAAGATTTCCAATAGCGTCTCTAGGCACCTTAGAGTCAGGCGTTGTGCAAATTAACGGGCCTTTACATAGATTGTGTTCCATGTGCACGTACGTTGCGAGGCGTGTTCATTGAAATTGTACGGGAATGATGTGCATGCAGTAAACAGATGCATTTACGGAACGAAAAGATATGCATAGGGAAAGTTGCCTTTTTTACGTTGATACGCCTGACAGCTACCGGTAGCTGTTTAATTCGTCTTCCTCGTGGACGCCGGTGAATATTGTCGACCGTTTTAGCTAAACATTCGCAGCGGCGTGATTACTTCCTTCAACCCCCACAGTTTACGGCAAGCACAAGTTTCGAGATCACACTCTGTTCCACACCCTCACAGAGTAGGACAACATTAACACACGGTAAAGTGTCCTGCCAATGGAAACAAGGACCGTCGTCCATGAAGGGGCTGGAACTCACATCCCATGCAAGTCGGACATCCCATTGAGACATCGGGTAGACCTCATATGTATAGGGCTTAAAATAATCAGTGCAACAAGGTCTTAACTCGCATATGTTTTGTACGCGAGATACGACCTTGTTGCACTGACAGTTCAAGTACATGCACACCCTGTTGGTATCTATATTTTGGTAACTTGGTTGTTTTGCACCCATAATGGCGCAACTGCAGAGCATCACTCGATGTTGTCTGAGCATCATGTACAAGCCAGCGATCGATGCCCCTTGAAAAAAAAAGAGATCCGCCCTGCCTCATATTTGCATTTAATGGAAAAGATATTAAATAATCCCCAGTACAAAAACCCAGTGGCGTGTACATTCTTTTACAACTGAGGACTCCCCCTATCTCTCCCTCTCTCTCTTTTCCAAAAGCGTACAGGCCCAGATCTCAGGCGTCGCGCTGGTCACGATGCAAACGTGATCCATATCGCATGTTCAATATCCTCCGATCATTACAAGGATGATTAGGTTACCAAGCCACGACCGGCAGAGATCCGGGAGCATATCCCTTGCGATGTGCAAACATCATTAAACGACCGCCCACAATTGCGTTTCTGATGACGACCACAAATCTGGAATTTTTCTGTGAAACAGCAAGCCGACTTACATATCGTTGTAACCGTAGCCACATTTTTGTAAACGGAGTGGAGATTCTGTATTTCTGAACTTTTTGCCGAGATTCGGCGTTGTGGGCTAACGTTTTGATAAGCAAACCATTTACAAACTCAGTTGCAATAGCACACACAATTGTACATTATGATCAATAATGTCGACGAGCCCTGTCTTTGCCGACTGGCCGGAGAGGGGGCTCGGAAAATGGTTACGTAAAATGGGGGGTTTTAAAAATCCATTTTGGAGTGTGCATTTTACTAGGTGCTTCAATATCCTGATATTTAAAGTTAGGCAACTTACGGAAAGAAATCACGGTGAGCAAGAGTTGGCAAGTGAATGTAAACTTTACAGAGGAGGGAAAGTGATTCAACAGGTTGATATTTGACTGGTCTGTTGTTACGGAAGAGAAAAGGATTTATATGGATTTTGAGCTAAAATGAATGTAACAGTATCTTGCCGGATTTTCCGGTCACGCTATAGCCGCGAGTAATTTGATAATTGATGGGAAAACCATTACTGTAACACATAACTCTAGACTAGAAATACGAAACTCCAGCCTCGGGACACAGTTTGCTTAGTGTTCATGCCGAAGACCGAGATGACTTTGCCATATTAGGCCTGAACACAACACGATTTCAAACCAGGAAAACATGCATATGAAACAATGCACTGAGAAATCGTGAGTTCAATACCAAATCGCCCCATATTCCTTTCAGGAAGTAACCGTACATGGTATAATTCGTTCCAGGCAGGATTTATGACAAAGCTTGTTATGATTAAATCATTACGTATTAAAGTTCGTTCTTTTACTTCTAGGTTTAGTGTCTTCGGAGAAGATCAGGTAATGATGAGGTGACTAGCGTGACGTTGTACCCTATTCGGAGGTACCATGGGGGACCCCAGCAGCACTGTGGCCTTGCACTACCTGGGCAGCGGGGAGGTTTGTAGCTCCTCGGCAGGCAAACACACGGAGGGCCTTGTCCACCGTCTTCTCCTGCGCCACCTCCGCGAGGAGAAGGCCTCGGACAGTGGAGAGGGGCCGGCGCCTCCCGGCCGGCCCCTGGGTGAGGCCTTCGGGAGGCGTGTGGACCTCCTCCAGAGCGGGGACTTGAGCGGTCTGCGGGCGGTGGACCACGAGACTGGTGTGTCGTTCATGAGTTGCAAGTGGCATGCTGTCGGGCAGTGTACGGTGAGCTCCACGCTTCGGCAATGGTTCACTGTCACGGTCGGGTACTCCGACGACAAGGAGTGGACCTGTTACGTCTTCAGTGCCCCGTCAAGACGTCAGGTAAGAAGCATGAAAAACCCACAACATGCAGCGAGCATCAATGCTGCAGGAAACATATTCAATAGGTCTCTGCCCTTCATTCTCACGTATCCCTTCACCAGCGAACAGCAGAAAGACTGGGCCAACAACAGTCTGGGTCCTGTCTCCGTAATTATTCGCATATTGTATATGACAATGGAATGGCCAGGCACATATGGACATTAAAATGTGACAAGCAGCATTGAAGTTCAAAGGTCAGCAAGTGCACTGGTGTTGACCCAAAGGGAAGTCGTTCCTTGCTTTCACAAAGCATCGTCTCTCGCTATGCGTACGGGATACGTATGCGGCTCAGAAAAACTAGCTGGTTGAATCCCAACTTCGTGCAGTTATTTTATCCTACACACTGTGTGCTGTCATCAATATGCTCTTCACGTTTTTAAACAACTGCACAAAATGGTGGATATAACCACCCTGTGTTCGCACCATTTCTAATGGTCCAACTACATGTGCAAGTATTGTCAATATACCTGCACCACAGTGACGTCATGCTTTATTTACATCTGCGCTTTCTTGTGGCAGTGAGGTAGGACGTGATCCATCGAGTCCATATTGTTAAGACGCGACGCCATTATGCTTTTGGTCTATAGGATTACTGAATTTGCAGGACCAAAACATTGTTTTGTCCGTGATTGTAGCTTTCCTTTTTTTTCTACACTCTGTTAATCATTGAGTCTGTGGACTTAGTATTGCAATGGATCATCAACAGAGAGGTAAATCTCCCCTCTTAAATACTGGCGCGCATAGTCACCACAAAGACATGTGCAATGCTGCATTATCGTAATTGAATAAAAGCAAACCTGCTGTTGATAGAATAAGCAATCTTGCCTGAAACGGAGTCTGTTTCAAAGAGTAACTAAGCTAGCTCCATTGTATACCTATGCGAACGATGAAATACTCCGTTTGTGTTGTACGGTGCTCAACAGATCGCCCTTTAAAACTAACACGGAGCGATATTGTACTTTAATTAATACGTTGGAACGCGCCGCTACGACGACACAACCCTCGGGGTCTATTCATGTCCGTACCGCGCTAATTGGCTAGATGTGTCGTCTCCCTCGCAGACGAGCTGGAGTCGCCATCAGTCCTCTGTGAGATATTATTGGTGCATTTGGTTGGCAAACCTGTGGATTCTAACCATTCCAACGCTCAGGCATCCGCCAGTATCACGTGACCAACGAGTCACGTCACCGGAAGGGATTCCGTTCCTGTTAAAAAAATTTTACCGGATGTTTTTCGGAACTCATTTTTGTTTGTGGGAAGCTGTTATTGTCAGTGTTTGCGATTACCAGGTGTTTGCGATTGTCTTTACAAAAGTGAAACTAATTTTGGGTTGTATTTACTGATGCAAGTCTTTTAACACAGTGTGCACCAATTAAACTCTCTTTTAAACACTGACTTGCTATCAGTTCGTAATTTGTTGATGGATAGAATTTAGCAACCGAGGTAAAGTTCAGCGAAATCTAAGCACGTTTACAAGCTGCTAAATGCAAGTATTAGTGTGTGCACTAAATCTCCCTGAGTCATTTTCTGATCGATTGGGTAGTCCAAAACGCGGAAAGAATGAACTCAAGTTTATCACAATTATTACTGTGAGATTACGTGGGAAGCATCAGTAGCAGTAATCAAAGCCGTTCATTAGTGAGGGACTCGTCAGAGGGGAAGAGACATCTGAAAGTGACCACAAGTAATGAAATCATAAAGATAGAGAGACAACGTCACCCCCGCCCGTACATTCAGGCTCTTTGAGATGTTGCACATTTCAAACAAGCCAGTCCGCATATTCTACGGAACATTCCAAAGGCGTCTAAATATAAAAGACGGTAGTGTTACATTGATATTTTTTTTTCTACAGTGTTATAGAGGGTTTGGACGACTGTCATCTTGCAGGCCCAGTGTTTCTGTTTCACGGGGTGAGCATAAAGGAGGTTTCACTGTGGAGCACGAGAACTTGCCCTGATGGCTACCACGCAAACCCTCTATTGTGATTTCGTATATGAAAATAATAAGGATAGACATACTACAATAAGTCCGAGGATAGGTTTTTCATCCCACTTTTAATATTTCTTCCGACGGTATCGAACTTTCTTCCATGCATGCCTGGCGTGGTTAATGGTACTGGTACTCAAAACTGATTATTTTATCGCCACTATTCATTGGCAAAGGGGACAAAAGCAAGTATGTTTAAACTGAAGGAATTATTTTAATCAGTCACGACCAGCCTTTCTATCCGTGCACTTTAAAGCGCGTTCGTAGTTTACTTTACTTACTTACTTACCAATGCAACGAATTCTACGTAAATGCAGTTGAGCCCTTTAGTTGGAAACAGGGTCGTCGATGAACATTGAGACCAAATTCGGAAAGTCGGTTTATCAAAAAGCAAGAGCTCTTGCTTTTGTTTTTGAAATGACGCAAGCTTAAATTAAAAAGACACGGGAGATCCTTTGAAGGAATTTTGGAAAAAGAATGTTTTTATTTTCATTTAGAAACTCAACTTAATTTTTAACTACGCAATAATCACTGGGAATGTGTTGCCGTTGATGTACACACAGGCAAACTACAAGTGGACTGTCATGACACTCACAAGAGCAAGGGGAGCATTGCCGGCATTCACAAGAACGTCGCACAAAGTGGCAACTTCCCCCAATTACATGATCAAATACAAGTGTTTCTGTATTTGGTGAAGTCGCGACATCTGACCGACAGCTTGAGGGTTTGAGGTTGCGCGATCAGCATATTCCCTCGCCCACTGAAAAATGGCATTTTCCGGTTGTCATGGCTACCGTTCCCCGTCCAAAGAGAGCTCCGTATCCCTGCGTGTGATTGCACTTCTGTAATGTCATGCCAAGGCAGCAACATCGGTCCCCCAAGTGGTACAGGGAACCATTAATCAATGTCCGTGCTCGGCCCCCATCCAAAAAAATCCAATCTGTTAATTACTATAGGCCTCCAATGTCGTCGTTTTCATGAAACAGAATTCTCCAAAGAGAAACTTTATGAATGGTCTATTGCCGAAGATAACCAATCTAAGGAAGTACACACGACAATAAACAGTAGAGTCTCATGAAATGATGTATGAATACCCTATTTGCTGTCAACATAATTTCATATCTGGTGTCCCTGTAGGGAATTTGTCATTAACCCGGCTTTATGGAAATGTGGATATGCAACCGCAATATTGCCATGTAGGCCCAAGTGTAATTTTAGGCTATGCTGAAAGAAACATCTCTCTTTTGAGGGAATCACCGAATCGGCAAGGGGGTCGTTAGTCCCACTGTTAAATAAGGCCACAGATTATCTCTTGGGATGAAGAGGGCTCAAACACAGAGCGGGTCCAGATTTGCCTGTACTTGGGCATGGGTATTTGGTGATACCTATTTTATAACGCCACGATATATTTTCAGCAAATTCGCGATAATGGAACAAAATCTTGACAACCAACGAGTTTTCGGTGATTTACTTCTTTTTTTAATTTCTGATCCACGGCTTAACATTCCCAGTTCAAAGACGTGTGCATTATGTGTCATTTCATTCATTTCGATCGGATGTATTCAATTCTGTATATGATCAAGTTTCTTTAACCATTACCAACTCCCTCAAACTTGTTTCCGATCACGGAGTCAAGGTAAAAGTTTTTCCCGACATATGCCAGCGGAGCCACTCTTTCGACGCAAGAGCGCACAGTGGCTCGCGGTCAATGATTGCCGCTTACGGTACCTGCACAAAAACCCAGGTTTGGTGATTGAGAAGCGAAGCGTTCGCCAAGTCGCGCTGTCATCGTTTTGGAAGAACACCACACATCTTAACGTCAACTTCCTTTAAACCACTATTCTATTGGAGTCAATTTTGACATTCTAATTCCCGACCAATAATTGTCAAACCAATACCGCATTTATGTTGTATCCTATCCTTCATTTACGTGAACCTCTAACCCTGCTCCCACTTCCTTCGTCGGGAGTGTTACCCGGCCATCAGGTATATATTGTGATTTCAAAAAGTCAAGCTCTAGCTGACGTCATTCGTCCTAAGAATAGAACCACACTGATCACCTGGTCGGCTGTTTTCAGATGCTATCTGGCCAACGACGTGTGAGGCGAGTTTGTCGCATAGTGCAATTGGCAGTCAGCAGGGCTTTGTGTCTTTCTACCAGTCACTGAACGCGGGTGACATCTGTAAAGGCTTCGGAGGTCCTCCGTTTAATGATATGAAGTAGAGTTGAGTTACTGTAATCATTTGCAGCGTGCTGTTCATAGGGGATTGCTGCGCTGTACTACAGCTAAGGACTTTTTGTAAGGAAGGTTTGATTCACGCGGATTGCTCATAATTATGCTTAATAGATCCGCTGTCAAAATGTTGTCAGAATAGATTTTTAGGGTGTGTGTATGTTTCTTCTGCCAAAGCTATGTCTGTATTATTCACAGAATAATTCTTGTCAGTGGAAATTATTCAGAATGAGTTAAATTAAAGCACCGTTGGTCTATGTTTTTTATCTAGATGTACTAAAATATGTCTATTGGAAATATGATTATATTAAATGCATTATTTAACACAGATACCGTGGGATTTATTGATAGTACCAGTGTACTATTTAAGGGAGACTCAATTTAAAATCATTCTCATTTAGTTCGTCGTAATCGTCACATTCTCTGTACAAGTCACAGCCATTGTGTGTTCGTCGGCCTTTTTATTGTCGCCCGATGTCGCGTTTTGTCACTGTCGTTGTCAAGCTCTCTATTATGTTGTAATTGATGATGCTACCCTTGTTGTTTTACTTATTATTATCGTCTTATATCAATGGTTCACCAGCATCAACAGGCGCCCACACTTTCTCCCCCAAAACCATACACAGCGGCACTGAAAACCGGCTGCACTGCGGGAAACTTGTCTTGACTGGCCTGCTGGAAGTGTACCCTGCCCCCGCTCGACCGTTGTACTGGTGCTAGTTTTATCGTGGAGGAAAGAAA